TGAGGCACTAATGTGGGCACCTGCACGCACTGCAGTTCTCTGCGGACATTGTGCTCACAATGGAATGACTTAGTCAAGGAGGGTGCTAATGTGTTTGCATAGATATGTCAATGTTCCTCTTCAAGAAGGATGACACAAGAACTCCTACAAAACCTTTCCCGAGCCCGATTTATTTTAGTATATCTTTGAAGAACTATTATGTGATAACATAAAACATAGTTGCAAAAATAGGATACAATTATATAACCCTGAAGGTGCGCTGAATCTTGAAACTCAATGTCAGAGATATAAAGTACAACGAGTCTAGCATGGGTCCTGTCCATGAAGCTGGAAGTCTGCTCTGTCTTCTCCAGTTCTGTTCAGAGTGCCACCTAAGATGCATTAGGCATTCTGTAACTATTTGTGATGAATGAATGAGTTTACAGATTCTACTCTTTACTGAATCTGTTCTCTTGCTAATTGTTCTCTATGAAGGTTTCATGGATTCTGATTTGGGTTTCACTCTCCCACTGGTTCTGGGGAACCCTGTCCTCCATGGACCTCTTTCTAATAAACAGACTATTTATGATTGAGATGCTCCATTTGACTTGGAAATCTGTTCGCAGTCTACCTCTGTGTCCTTCTGTCTCGCCAACGCAGTTTGAACTTGGCTGCGGAGCATACTGTCTGGGTGTGAAGGTCTGTGCAGTGTTCACCTTGCAGACCTGACAGAGTGAGTGCAGTCCGTCCTATCCCTGTCACTTCCTGAAGCACGTGCTGTCAATGCCCCAGCTGACCTCTGTGCCAGGCCTCTGAGAAATAAACAGGCAAAGGTGGGGCAAGGACAATGGGTGGAAATTAGAGAGAAAAATATTTTTGTCTTCTATAAGGAAAAATTTTAATAGACTTAGATTACCAAAATAAAGTTTAAATATAGATTGCATGAGTGCCAGAGGAACAGTAAAATAAAGTCCTGTATTCATAAAAAGATTCACGTATACAATATCCAGGGCAAAGTGTTCCTTTCCTTCAATCCACACTCAAAAGGATGTGACACATTTTCCCCTCAAATGTTAAAGGATTGAACAGTATCATGAAAGCCTTACAACCTCAAGGTAACACAAGTCAACGGTTTTACTTTTCAGGGTAAAAAACAGTTAATTTTCATACAATAAACACAAATTTGGGTAAACAGCAAGCTAGAAAAAGTGCACATGATATTAAAATCATGCCCAGTTATGAACCTCAGCTCTAAGCCTAACAGGCAGCACAACTTCTGGCAATTTTCTTTACCTCCTAGAGGATAAAAATTTCATCTCTAGATAAGAATTAAAAACTTACCTTGCTTGTATACACGCATATTTGGTACATGCACATGTATTCAGTATGCATAGCATGTGTACTCTCTAGTATTGTTGTGAGATGCATATTCCCTTAGGTAATTTATATATGTCTTAAACAGAGATCGGTTCTTTTCAACATGCATCTTACAGCCCAGGTACCTGGTCAAAGTATACCTTGTAGTCTGTCGAGTGACTCATTCCATGAGCTCTTTTGCTCCAGTGTACTGTGGGGAGAACCATGCAGACCCGGAAAACAGGGCTTGAGCCCTGAACATATTTCCCTTACACGGACGGTCAGTGGCGCGTAGTGACTCCAGGCAGTAGTGACACCAGATCCCACTTTTGAATTTTCAAGGGAGGCTGCTAAGCTTGTGTCACCCTTTCTGGAATCCACCCTCACTTTCTTATCAGTGGCAGCGCCTGCAGACTGGCCTCGATCTGTTGAGGATGCTATGAGTGACGCTGTTTAGTTACCCTTCCTGTTCCACGGACCCTTTTTGCTTCCAAATATGCACTCCAGGGAGCGGAAATTAGTTAAAGACAATCAGAGCAACCAATTCTTGGGTAGTGCAGATCTAATCAGGACAAAAAACATTTAAAAAATATTCCAGCAGTTTTGTTGAGAGAGTGGTTCAAAGTCCAACGGATGTTTGGTATCTTTCTCCACCCAGGGCACACACCTTTCTCCTGTGTTTGGAAAGTGAGTTTTCTTTTGGCCTGGTTAATGAACATGTTGCTTTGAATAGGCAGGGTTGTGAGGTTATGAGCAACTTTTTTTTCTTTTTCTTTTTTTTTACTGTCTTCCCTTACAGCTTTATGTAGTATTTCGGAGAGACCCAGAAATATCCCTAAAATGTTTAGCATAAATTCAAATCTTTGAGAACAAAACTGATTTTAAATGCTAACTGCTTATGTCACTTCCCAAGTGAAAACTTTAGTAGGGGAATAATTACCCAGTCAACTTCATTTTGGTCAAGTCTTGTCTTTCACGTGCCTGATGTGCCTGCCCTATATACAGTTATCCGTAGCACTGTACGGAGGCCCCAGCAGGTCACCTCCACCACCCTCCTGCCCTGTGTAGACAAGCGTGAAGCAGAGAGGAGCCAGTGAGCACGGGGCACGTGAGTTTCTGCACTCCCGTATTTGTGCTAAGGCTCGTCTGTCACTTAGGAATAGAACAGACCAGACCTGACCAAGCCCAGGCCACCGTGGGGGCTGTGGGTGAGCGGCTCCTCCAGCCCAAAGCAGCGGGCGGGCGCTCCATGGAAAGACCCCGGATGGGCAGTTTCAAAACTCGCCAAGGCGCTGACTTTGTTACACCTCTTGGCTTTTTTTTGGGTCTGGGTGTTCTCACGGCAGTAACGTACTTGCCCTTCATACTTTAAGATTTTATCAGAATCAAAGGAGCAGTGATGCTCAAAGACAGGTCATGAAAGCACAAAGTGCTTCGCGATTATACGTTTTCATAGCAATTCTAATTAAATGTGCAATGCCTTTGAAATGTCTTCCAGGCAACTCTGTGCGATGCATCCTATTTTTTGACTCTGTTCTCTTTGCCTGGTTGCATCTGCAGCGAAGAGGAGTCATGAGATCAGTGCTATCATCGGAAGAACAGCACTGGCAAGGTCTACTATAAATACTTATCCTTTGGGGGACCTAGAGCCAATCAGCACACAGCTCCAAATGGGAGCCCTCCAGGGCAAGGTTCGCTGTCCGTTTCTTCCTCCCTATCCTCGCCCTTTCCTTTTCCTCGTGATTTTTTAACTGGTCCTATTCCTCATGGTCTTGGCTGGCATTCTACCCGAGGACACCGGCTTTAACACCGTGTCTTACTTTGTAATTTTATGAAATTCCCTTGCCATCAAAATACTCTTTGCCACATCCTCAAAAGAGAGTAACTAATTCAATAGCCTGGTAAATAATAAATTTCCAACAAATTTCTGTTATTCATCTGAACTGAATAGGGAGCTAATGGAGATCTTGACACTGATGTCCTGGTATCTTATGACATTCTACTTGCTTAGAAACTTCAGCGCTTTTCCCCAGAGGTGAGAAATGGAAAGATCACCATTTTGACTAGAAGAGTTTTGTATGAATTAAAATCAGGGTTGAATTGATTAGCTATCAACATTTAAAAATAGGAAGATGTAGGGCTGGGGATTAGCCCAGCGGTTCTGCAGCCTGATGTGCAAGGACCTGAGTTTGATCCCTGGTTAAAAAAAAAAAAAAAAAAAAAAAAAAAAAAAAAAAAAAAAAAAAGAGATGCAAAATTGCAGCTTTCTGACTTCTCTTGAATGTCAGAACAGGAACATGAAGAACAGACACAAAGTAACATTGGATCTTCCAGAGCAAGAGCAGGAGCTGCCAGGGGGCTGGTGGCAACTGTAGAGGTGCGGACTGAGTTTGCTGTGCCCAGCTTCTCCCCCGTTCCACTTCGTTTATTTACATCACATGCCTGTCCCCAGTAGGATCTGAATTTGTGACCCTTGTCCAACCCATAGAACTCATTAAATCCTTTCTCATAACCAGCTAGTCATGGGTGAAATCATGGACAGATGGCAGAGGGAGAACATATGCTGTTGATCTGTTTCTCTTATTCCATTAACTGTGTTGCCAGCATTCTAAACAGTCTAATCGTATGTCACAAACCATAACCGAAGCAGCAGTTTATGAGGGGATTATCTAGAGCTGCGTCTAACTGTTTATCCTGAAGTGTCAAGCGAAAGCTGCTTTGAGGTTTGATCTGCTTCTCAGAGTAAGAATTTTACCAACTTAGTAAATGTGAATTCTCTGCCTGGGCCCAACTCCATGCCTGACACAGTCCTGTGTCATCAAAGCAGTGGAAAGGGAATCTCCAGTCTGGGCTTTTACAATTGAGATGGGTCACACAGAGTGATATACGTATTAAAGGCAAGGAGAGGGGCTTAGAGACTTGAACAAGGCAGCAAGTTGAAGCTCTAGAATTTTCTGAAGGCTTTTCAATACCCTTTCTTCCTTCTCCAAGTTTGAGGGGAAGAACGTCTACTTGAATAAACTTGCAATAAAGAAAAATGGAGTCATGTTATTAGCTGGAGGCAATTTAGCCAGAGGAATATAAAACATATTGTTTGGAAACACACTGTTTTTCTTCTCTATTTCCAGAATCCCTTTTTCCTTAGATGGAAAGTTAATATCTAAGTCTTGGAGTAAAGCTGTGGCCTACAGAGCAGGGCCCAAGGAGCCCAAGGTGTACTCTGGTGAAGGTTATAGGTGAACAGCACAAAGGAGCTGTCATGATTCATTGGGGTCTGGAATAGGTCATTAAAGCTCAAAGTTTCTTATAGAGAAACTGGGGTTAAGACATCTCTATGTCTCCACAAACAAGAGGAGCTTTCAAGTGTGGCCATTGCCCTGCGAGTGAGTGGTGAAATCACGGGGTTCAAAGATAGGAAGGATCTTAACACTTCTCACATAAGGCCTCTTCTGTGCTCACCTTTGAGCAAGGCCTGGGGAACCTGATCCACGCCAACCAACCTAATCATTGCCAGGCAGCTTTTCAGTTATCTGCAGGGGAAGGGGCCACAGGGAGAAGTGGTGAATGAAAGAAGTGCCAAAGAACATTTCATGGCAGACACAGACAAACACCTCCTATCCCACTGGCAATTCACTCTCTCTCTCTCAAGTGCCAAAGCATTTCATGGCAGACACAGACAAACACCTCCTATCCCACTGGCAATTCACTCTCTCTCTCTCTCTCTGGAGCCATGGAACCTTCTGAGCTCTCAGGTCAGGGACACATCATGGACAATAATGTCAGAATTGGTACCAAGAGCACGCTATGGAGATGCCACCCCCCACTTGGCATTTCTCATTTGAGTCAGAGTGAATCTAGTGTAATTAGGAAGGCAGAGATGGATACAGATAACTGCGGTGCCAGTCACAGGGAAGTGTGGCATCGGGGAGGCTACTTTTTCTTCTTGACAAACTCGCAGACGAAGTACATGGTGAGATGGCACTCTGTGTCGTTCCACCGGCCTGAGCTCAGCATCTCCACGCAGTCCTCATGCCCAAAGGGGTCGCTGGGCTCCCCCTCCTGCCAGTTACTGTAGTTCTGCAGTGGGGTGTGGTCCGAGAACACGTACTGCCCCTGCTTCTCGAGGTCATTCACCCCAATGAACACGCGGAAGAAGCCACTCTTGGCCACGTAGTCAGCGATGAGGCTGTTGATGGCTTCGCTTTTGGGCATGGCTAGCATTCCACCCCGAATCCTGCAGTGGGTCAGGGATTCCCTGTAGTTCTTCTCCTCCTGCACGATGTAGTAGAACTTCTCTTCAGTTTCCCTAATCCCTGCTATGACTACAAGGAGGAAAAGAAGAGTATCATTATGTACCTTGAAAAGAGGAGATAGATACATCATTGTCAGATTGAAATTCATGCCTTCAGCATTCAAGAATTGTCTTGCAAGGCCCTGACAAGAGGTAGTCACTGATTTCACTTTTTCTCTGCCTTTCTGGTTATCACATGGAGAGCCCACGTCTTCTGTTAGACCTTGCTTCTCTTCCTCCTTGGCTCCCCACACAGCTGTCCAGTTATGTTGACAGAGACTGGTCACCCGATGGGCCACCAGATCACCCATACCGTTCCTCCGCACCTCCTTTATGTCACAGACATACTCATGCCCTTCTCTCTTTCATGTCTGTGCCTGGAAAGTCACCTTACTGCTTCTCTCCTTGTCAAACTCCTACTTACCTTTCAGAGCTCATTGGAACTGATTTCTCCTAAAGAGTCTTTCAAGCCCCTCAACAGATGGGGTCCCCGTGTGTTCTTCCCTCCATCTGCCCTACCCTTTCCACTTCTTCTACAGGACCTGGCACATTCTACTCCAGAGGTTTCTTTGTGAGTCTCTTCTACTCAGCTGTGAGTGTCTGGAGGACAATGCCCACGTCTTTGACACTTTTTAACCTGAGTGACTGGAGCATTCCAGAACTATTGGTCTATACTGTACCTTTGGGGTCCGGTTCATTCATGATGGTTGAAGCTATGTCAGACATAGAATCTTTATTATGGGGGACAACCAGGGCTGTTATTAATGTGATTAACTAACATTGAGTGTTTCCTATGCCTCTAGTATTACTAGATGACTACCGACACAAGACAGCATCTGTGTGTTTCCATTAATATATAGCATTAATACCTGGATATGATAAAGTACAAAACCTGGAAGCCTTGAGATTATAACGTCAAATGAAATAAATCAGACACAACTAACATTGAGTGTTTCCCAGGAGGGGAAGCGAAGGGGGCATAAAAAGGATGAAGATGTGTTATGTACATGTTCTAAACTGCAGGGAGGGGTGCAATCACTGTGCACTGCAAACACGGACTGATAAAAAAATTAAAACGGTGGAAAAATATTTAAAAAGCGTGAAACCAGTTGTAATCATTAACTGTGAAAGTCCCCCAGAAACACTGTTCTCAGAACAGAAGACAGAAGTCCTTTCCTCTGGAAGGAATTTATCATTGAGTATTACAGGGAGATGGAAAGAGATAAGAATTGATTGGTGCAGGAAGTTTCAAAACTTAGAGACACATGTAGGGTTCACACTGATTGGTACTATGAGTAGAGGAGTCAGGAAAGCTTGCATTCTGCTGTACTGCTCATTAGGTCTGTAACTGAGGCAAGATCTCTCTAAGCTTCGGTTTAATCACTGCACTCACATTACAATTATGTAAAGACTGCGCCTTGATACCAATAGTTGTGCACAGTCTCAACTACTCAAGACAGAGGCTATGTTATTGTTCCTTCTATTTCCCGAGATGCAGTTTCTATTGGACTCCTGCCACGTCTTTTTATTCTTAAGACACCGCTTGCCACATTCTCCTTTTGGCTCTTCTCTTTGGAGAAACCCCTTTCCAATCGATGGCAATGCCCACGCGTGCAAATTTATGTAGCGGACTGGAACCATCCTGGTATTTGGGTGGCTAATTTGCATTTTTAAGCACACTCAAAACTGGTGACACATGGAGGTCTTTTCCCAACCCAAGGTCCTGTCTGCTAGGAGACCCAGTGCTGAAAGTCTGAATCGGCAGACACGAGGTATCTGGCAAGAAACAAAAGAGAAAAATGTTCACCGTTCTTGACGAATTTCATAGACGACTTGAGCCGGGCCACACTAATATCCAGTTGTCCAACAACTTTCCGGTATCTTCCGCAATCGCAGACAGTACCTGTAAACGACAGAAACCGTGGCTCCCGGTGCGGTACCAGCACACCGGCTGCAGGGCTGCCATCTTCCCTGCCGCTCCGGCACCGTCCTTTCCTAGTCTCGCGAGGCCCCTCTGTGAGCGGCTGGGTATTTGACCTTAGATTTAAAACAACCTTTCCGATTTATATCATGTTTAGGAATCCGAAAAATATCTTTTTCAGTATGAGGAATGAGCTGGAAACAAAAGTAAACTCGATTTTTAAAAGGAACAATAAATATGACATCCCACCGCACACACACTGTGGCACATTTGACAATTTGTTGAACACAGAATCTGCCTGCTCCCTCTCAGAGTAGCATTTTTAAAGCCTCCTTAAAATGTGTTTGCAGCAGGCCTCTCTTGTGTTGCTGCATTATTCAGTACCTCACGCAGCTCTCCCAAGATAGGAGAAATTTCAGGATTCAATCAAATGCTAATTCTGATTATCCATGAGAAGCATACTTGCACGCTTCAACTGCTGCATTTATTTCCTGTAAAGAGATCCGACTTACAGTTTTAAAAGCCAGCTGTCCTATTTGTGGGCTATGATTTTTTGGGAGGGTACCAGGGATCAAACTCGGGACTGTGCGCTTGCGAGGCAGGCCGTGGCACCCACGGAGCCAAATCGCCGGCCCTCTATGATTTTAATTTGTTATCCGTTCCACTTGGCTCACTTACCTTTTCCACTATATACTGATATTATTGTGAGAGAGAAGCGATTATAAGGAAAGTATTATAAAATTCAGACGATTCTCCTTTTCTGTGTGATGGCTGGTTCATGCAAACATTAGTTTTGAGTTTTTGTTTTCTTGGTAGCATGAAAAGTAAAAATAATTTTATTAGCCCAAAGAAAAAAAAAATCTGTGGCTAAATTTTATCCATAGTTAATAGGAGGCATGTGGGGCAGTGTTTTGTATTCGTGTTCCATACACTCCTGTGAATAGAAACAGCTGAACTTCCCCAAGAACCATCTACCTTTCTTCCTTATATATAACATGGGACATATAACTCGCTTGGTGCCCAGGGGCACCTGCCTGGAGGCTGAGAGCTCCTTCTGTAACCAGGTTCTCTGCAGATCGGGCCAGCTTGCTGACGGTAGCCTGCAGGTCTGGGTTTGGTTGCGATGCTAATGGAATGCCAGGCATGGCGCTGACATAAGCCTGGCTGCAGTTTCCCCTGGGCCAGGGAAGGACAGGCTGCTTCCTGAGGTGTGGGGCAGGACAGGAATGGAACGTGCCTGCCTCTCCTTCCCCAGGGCTTGGAAAGTCACCAGCAGACAGAGAGGAAAGTTCCCTTCTTTCCTGTCCTCCAGCCCAGGGAAAATGAGGCCAGGCATGCTGAAAAGAGTTCTGTTCTTCTTTGAAAGCTATTTACTTTTGAGATGAACATATTTGGAAAATCTAGCAAAGATGTGATATATGCAAATATGTGTATTATAAAGCCATCTCAAATATGCTAGAAACGAAAAAGAAAAGCAAGCACACCATACCTGCCTTGCCTTTCACTCCAGGAATCCCAAGCAAACCCTTCTCTCCTTTGTCACCTGAAGAAAAATAACAGAAGCAACAACAAAAGTGCACAATGAAATAAAAAGGTGAATTATTTTAAGCAGACCATATCCCGTACATCTGAAATCAGAGGAAACATTTTTCCAAATTTCATTTCTGATATACCCAACTATTATCCCTTGGTTTTATACAAATAATTTTTTTTGGAGTTGGCTGCACAGGCACAGATAATCAAGTGAGTCATAATTTATTTAGATTTAATCTAGAATTCTAGCAGGATGTATAAGGAACATTAGAATTTGTAATACCTGTCCTGCTAGCGTGTGTGTGTGTCTGTGTGTGTGTGTGTGTGTGTGTGTGTGTGTGTAATAATATGGTCTTTTTGAACAAGGCTAATACAATTTTCAGCATGTTTTTAATTTTAAAAACACCATTTCTTAGTAAATCTGGATCAAATGGTTGGCACATCGTAGCATCTGTGTATTTATTATGCTCCAATTTATTCTGTGTGGCTTTGCCCTTGGGTTTTCAAAAAAATATGTATTGTACTTTTTCAATTCAATTCAACAAACATCTACTATTTATGCAAGACGAGGCTCAGTATTTGGAGAGGATTTACAGAGAGACAAGATTAGACCTCTGGCTTGCACAAGTTTACAGTTTCTACAAAAGATGTGATATATGCAAACATGTATATTATAAAGCCATCTCAAATAAATGGAAATGTCAACTTTGGTAATTTTCTTTCTGTTCTTCTTTGTATTTGATTATTTTTTTACCCAGGAGTAGCCAATAATAATAATAATAATAATTTTCACAGAACTAGGATTTTTAAAATAGAAAAAAAATCTTGATTTTTTTGGTTTTGCTTTTAACTCCAAAATAAGCTCTTGAAGCCCATATCAGACACAATAATTGAAAGGCGATGCTTTTGATTTACAAGAGAAAATGTTTGGCTATGGTTCTTGAGGATAAAAAGGGTACATTCTGAGAGAAGCGAAAGAGCCTTTAATGCTTCAGAAGTGATCAGGATAAAGAATGAGAACTCAGGAGAGATAAACACAGGCTGATGTCACCCAGGCTAGCAGGAGGGTGGGGCTGACCCTCGTGGGATTTGGAGGCAGCCAGGGAACTGGGCTGACCCCAGGAACAAGGGGGAGGAGAACTGAGTGAGCTTCGAGACTCCGTAAGTTCATCTTTCACTAGCAATAGGGGAAGGGAACTGCTCCGAAGGCCGCACCGTGTCCTAGGCACCTCCACTGAGGGTGCCCCCTGCGGTTCTCATCGCTGATGAGCCCCCTTGTGTCGCCTACTGAAGACTCCCTGACACGTGGGCGAAAGCGTGCTGCCGGGTCCCGAGGACTTCCCACGCCTTTCTAAACTGAGCCAGATGGACCCCTTTCTCTACAGTGGTCCTGTACACCCAGGGGCTCCCCAGCAGAAGGAAGAGGTCCTTGCCATGAAGCAGGTAGCTTATGTGTGGAAGGGAAGTGTAAGAGCTTGTACCTCAGGGGAATGAGACAGCGGTGAAGTCTACGACAACAGAGTGTGATAAATGCTGAGGGGGGGGGCTGAACGAGCGTAGCGCTCAGAGAGAGAGACAGCTTCACAGGGAAGAAAGAAGGAAGGCTGAGCATTTGAACTTGGCTGTCAAAAGCGTCATCAGAAGAAGACAGGAGGAGCAAAGTCTTGAACAACACACTGCTGGGCTACAGCTGGGAAGAAAGCCAGAAAATAAGGTTAAGCACCTTGCTGAGGAAGACTGAGCTGCTCACATTTTACTTGTTTCCTACAAATGCATTCTTTCCTTTCATGTAAATTGGAAAGGATAAGAACAGACTTTCAGAATATATTAATGGAAGAACAGGAACATGTATTTGTTAAGTGTCAGTTGCCAAGTACCATTCTGGACACTTTACACAGATTATCATATTAAATCTTAGGAGCGAGGCGCTCTGATCACGTTAACGCTGCCACTGAAGAAACTGAGGGCCAACCAGGCAAATAACTTGTTCAAGAATACTCTGCAATTAAATGGCAGGTTTAGAGCTAGAATGCCCCAGAAGAGCCCCATGGGTTCCAAGGTGGGGCTTTTGGAAGGTCATTAGATCATGGGGATGCTGAAGTCCGCAGTGGGTTGATTCGTGAAAGAGTTCAGAGCTAAATCTGCCTGTCTGAGAAGGTGCCAGCGAAGGGTGCATCTCCCTCGTCAGCTCCTCCTCCCTCCTTCTCTCTCTCTCTCTCTCTCTCTCTCTCTCTCTCTGCTTCCTGGCTGCCATAGAGGTGAGCAGATTTTCTGCTCCGTGCCCCTCTGACATGATGCTTCTGCCTTGGAGCCAGCTGAGCATGGCTGAATCCTCTGAACCGTAGGCCAAGTTAAACAACTGTGGCTGTCAGGTATTGTGTCCCGGCAATGGCACAGCTGACTGGCACAGCTGATATTCAAACCCAGCCATTTCTGCTCTCCAGTTCATGGTGTTTCCCAGACGATTTAATGAAGGAAGCTAAGTACGTGAAAACGCTATCAAAATGAAACAAGCCAAGTACAGAAAGACAGACGTTGCAGGATCTCACTTATATGTGGAATCTAAAGCAGTTGGCCTGGTAGAAGTAGAGTAGAATAAAGACTGCCAGCAGCCGGCCAGGGCAGGACAAGGACAATCTTGGCGACGCTGGTCAGTGGTTACAAAGTTACAGTTAGCTAGGAGGAATGACTTTCGGTATTCTACTGCATAGTAGGTTAACTACCATCTACCTCAAAATAGCTATAAGGAGATTTTGAATGTTTCATTGCAGAGGAAAAGTTTGAGGTTACGCAAATACTGATTTCTCACATTTGATCCTTACACAATATATACACGTATGGAAGTATCATAGTGTACGCCAACAGTCTGTGCAATTATTATGTGTCAATTAAAACAACATAAGAACAATTTTGAAAGGCATAGCAGTTTTGTGGTTATGGTTTAGATCTACAACGTTATCCAGAAGCCTCGTGTGCTCAGGGCTGGGCTTTTGGAAGGTGATGGGATCCTGGGGTGCTGTATTCCCAGGTGGATGAAGCCACAGAAGAGAGCAGAGCTAAAAGTGTGCTGGGAGGAGGTGGGGTGTGGGAGCGTGGCATGGAAGGCACTCCCTCTCCTTGCCCCCTTTTCTGTTTCCTGATGCCTGGTGTGAGCGTCTGTCCGCCACCCAGGCCTCTCTACTGTGCTTCTTCTGCCTTGGCACCAGCTGACCAAGGGCCACAGCTGTGGGCCAAAGTGGACCTCTCCTCCCTTAGGATGAGTTAGCCTGTTTTGTCTCAGCAGGGAGGAAAGTAACTATGACCCTTATCATTACCGAAAACAGCATGGACTTAAAAGATCATGATTATGAGTTCAATATTTTAATTTTTTAAAGGTATACTTTGTATTTGAACCTCTTTCAATTCAACATGGAGTGAACACTGGTTCCAGTTCCGTTGTGACCCTAGTTCTGGCTGGGCACCACAAGGTCATAAAAGAAATTCAACCAGGGAACAGTTCCGTCTTACCTGAGGTGTTGCTTTCCACAGATTCAGCTAGCTGTGGTTCAAAAATATTGAGCAGAAAAGTCCAAAAGTAAATAATTTGTAAGTTTTAACCTGCCTACAATTTGGAAGAGTGTGGTGGGGTCTTATGCCGCCCTGCTCCACTGGCTCCTTTCCTCCCAGAATGGGAGTCCCGCCTCTGTCCAGCATGCTCTGGCTGTGCGCACTGCCTGCCCGCTCCTCAGAGCCCGCTGGGGTCAGGCGGTCGGAAGCGGACTTCAGGGCTTGCCTTCAAGCCGCCTCCGCGGCGCAGTCTAACTCCACTGCACGCTGCCCGCGGCCCTCACTGCACTGCCGTCCTTGCCAGCACTACATCCTCTCGAGCAGTCAGACAGGACGGGTAAATACAGCACCGTGAGATATTTGGAGGGAGGAGGAGGGAGAGACTGCATTCGCCTCACTTTTATTACAGTACATTGCTACCATTGCTGTACTTTAAGTGACTGTGACAAATGTCTCACTTTGCCTAACTGAGGATTCAATTTATTTAATTGGCTTAAGTTTTAACGTTTATTTTTAGTGGTGCACGTTTGCAGTACATCACATTCCTTGTGGAGAGTTGGTGCGGGTACATAACACATCTTAATTCTTTTCCATGCCCTTCTTCTACCCTCTCTTCTTTTTCCCTCCATCTCTTGGTCCCTTTCCCTTTTGCAAAAGGTCTGTATTCTCTGTTCCTGTTATATATATTCTATATTCCTATTATCTGTATTTTCTTTTTCTTTTTAATTTATTTGCTCTGCAGTATTCTCCCGTAAGTGAAACCATGTGATATTTTAAGCTCGTGTCTGATTATTTCACTTCACAGCATGGTTGCAAGGTGCATCTATTTACCTGCAAAGTGACTCAGATGATCCCGCAGCAGAGAAGGACTCTAATGTTATCATAGGTACATATGTGGATGGAGAAAGCACGGTAAATAGAGGGTTCAGTACCATCCACAGTGTCAGACTGGGGTCTTGGAATGTTTCCGCCAAGGATACAGGACTGTGGTATTTGCTTTGGAAAAACAATGGGCTTTTAATGAAGTAAAAGCACACATAAAGAGGCCAGGGAGATCAACACAGCCGTGTACTAAGAGAGGGAAATAAACCAAAGCCTGGTAGGGTGTCTGAGGAGGAAAAGATGCCTGCGGGTCAGGGCAGAAAAGGGTGCATTGAAGCCACGGCTCTCAACTGGGTCTTGAAAGCTGGACTCAGCTTCTGGAGTTGGTCTGTGGCTTTGTCTTTTGAGAAGAGGAAAATACCATGACTACTTCCAGCACTTGGGCACGAATCTCTTACAAATGGAAGCACCAGGCAGTGTGGTACACTGAGAGACTCCAGAAGGTCCAAAATACCAAGTTTGAATCCTGGCTGTACTACCTAATAGCTAAATATGGACAGATTAGCTAATGTCTTCACGTCTTGATCTTTACATGGAACCATTGGGACCTACGAGGATAAGATCATCAGGAGAATAAGCTGG